CCCCCGAGCACAGCGCCCGCAGCACACCCCTCTCCGGCCCTGGCGCCCGCGGCAGGCTTTTGTGAGTCCTAGTCTGCCGAGGGAATGTCAGCCGGGGGCCTGCTTCTGGGGAGACGCTGTGTAGGAGCCCAGACCCACTGACCGCCCTCCCAGACCTGGGCGCTGGGAGCCTGGGGGCGGGCAGCTGGCCCTTGCCTAGCGGGACCACAGAGGAGCAGAGAGCTGGCGGGCACCAGCAGGGAGGGGACACCGGGGAGTGGTCAGCAGGGCCCGTGGGCACTGGGCCTGGGGACTCACCACAGCCACCTTCATCCTGAGAGGGAGCAGAGCTGCAAGCGGGCAGGCGTCCCACAGGCCTGTGCCCTTATATATGCCCACGGGTTACATAAGCGGCCGGACACCACCCAGCCCCTTGGCCTCGGCCCTCGGTAATGAGTGACCATCCACCCTCCTCCTGGCCCAGCGAGTTGATGGGTCAGCACAGGAGCGGCCCGGCCCCTCCGGCCTGAGCTCCGGACTCCCTCCCGGACAAGTGGCCGCTTGGGGTGTCCCACAGGCTCCACACCCGGCCACACCGGCCCAGGGCCCTCCCCACAGGCCGATGGACCCCCGCCACCCCCATCCCTCAGGCACCTGGGATTCTGGGCAGGGCCTTGTTCCAGAAACACTTACTCTTCCCAGCTGGCGGGGCTCAGTGGTTGAGCATCGACCTATGAACCAGGAGGTCACGGTTCAATTCCTGGTCAGGGCACGTGCCTGGGTTTCGGGCTCCATCCCCAGTGTGGGGCGTGCAGGGAGGCAGCTGGTCAGTGATTCTCTCATCACTGATGTTTCTTTCTCTTTCTCCCTCTCCTCTCCTCTCTGAATTCAATAAAAAAATATATTTAAAAAAGAAGAAGGGGGGAGAGGTCAATGGGGAAAAAGGAGACATATGTAATACTTTAAACAATAAAGAATTTAAAAAAAAACACTCTAACACTTCTATTTATTTATTTAGTATATATTTTTATTGATTTCAGAGGGGAAGGGAGAGGGAGAGAGAGATAGAAACATCAATGTTGAGAGAATCATCGATTGGCTGCCTCCTACACGCCCCACACTGGGGATGGAGCCCGCAACCTCAGGCCTGTGCCCTGACCCGGAATCAACTGTGACCTCCTGGTTCATAGGTCGGTGCTCAACCACTGAGCCACACCAGCCGGGCTGTTCTGACACTTCAAATGGGAAGGAAGACGTCACTAGCTGGGCTCCCCCAGAACACAGCCAGGACAGCCAGGAGCAGAGGGCAGGGTGTTCCCACACGCAGACCCAGGGAAAGCCCCGCTGGAAACCACCTCTGCCCACGACGAGCAGGGAAAGGCCAAAGCAAGAGGCTGCCACTCACCAGAGGGGTGTGTGAAGCGACATGCACACAGGAGGCAGGTCGTGGGCGGCTGCAAGACCAGACGCATCCCTACCCGCTCGGCAGGGGCCAGAGCGCGATCCGGGGCCGGGGCGGGGAGTCCCGGTACCAGCACAGGAGTGCTCCCCGGTACAGAAATCACTGCACACGCGTGACCAGGGCCAGACAAGGGCCTGTTCCAGGGACCGGCCCACAGCGGGGGGCAGGGAGGTGCCAGCTGGTGTCGGAACCAGCACCAGCTGTGACCAGCCGCTGTGGGGTCTGCAGCAGCCTCCCCCGATCTGGCCCAGTCTCTCCTGGGGGAGGAGGGCGGAGGGTCCGTGGAAGGAAGATGCCGAGAGCGAGGGGAGACACCAAGCATCGGGGGTTCTTGCTAAACTGACAGGACAGGATTCTTGCTGAAGGCAGGGCAGGGTGCTGAGACGTCAGGGTGGGGCCGCTGCGAGTACCAGGCGAGGCCACGGGAGGGAGGGAGGGCGGGCGGCTGAGAGAAGCCCAGCTGAAGTCTGGTGAAGGTGGAAGGTGGGTCTCTGTCTGGCTCTTAGGGTGAGAGGTTCTGTTTCGAGTCCGGGCAGAGATGAATTCCAGCGGCACTGGGCCAGGTCTGGTACCTGCAGACACGGCAGGGTCCAAACGCACAAATGCACCTGCCTGGCACGGACGCTCTCCAAAGAAGAGGCAGACACAGCAAAACGGGTCAAGCCGGCCGGCGTGGCTCCGTGGCTGAGCGTTGACCCCTGCCCCAGGAGGTCAGGGTTCGATGCCCGGTCAGGGCACAGGCCCGGGTTGCTGGCTCGATCCCCAGTGTGGGGCGTGCAGGAGGCAGCCGACCCAGGATTCTCTCTCATCATTGATGTTTCCATCTCTCGCTCTCTCTCTCCCTCTCTCTCCCCCTTCCTCTCTGAAATAAAAAATACATATATTAAAAAAGAAAAAGAAATACGACTGAGTTCTTGCTGCTCAAATGTGGCCTGAGGCTCCAGAAACAAAACCACTTCCCGCTTCTGTGGGACATGATCCACGGGGATGAGCCTGGAGACCAGGGGGGAACGCGGGCGGGACACGCCCCAGAGAGCCCCCCCGCCCCCGACAACGGAGCCAACGAGGCTGCTTTCTGAGGACGGACCAGGCAGCTCCCAAAGAAAGACCTTGATGACAAGGGGGGATGTGAACAAAACCGTAAATGGAGCCGGAGGCGCTGCCTGGCACCTGACACCTCAGATCGCTGGATGTGAAAACGGGGGCACAGGAACCTTTGCACGGGGCCCAGAGCAGCCTGTGTCCCAGAGAACTGTGTGCAGAGACGACGACAAAGCAGGTGTCACGACCCCTGGGCGGACGGCGGCAGGACTGGAAATGAAACATCGGAGGGAGTCAGCGTCGCTCTGCCAAGCCGTCGGCACCGACAGCAACGCCTTCCTTCTGCGGACGTCACGGTCCCTGCCCCCTCGTGAGCACCCCTCGCGTGGGCTCCTGAGCAGAGCACGGTCTGGGCTTCTGCCAGAATCAGTGACTCGGGAATAGCTTTTTAAAAAATCTCAAATAAACGCTCGTCTCTCACGTTGAAAGGCCTTTTCTTTTTTAGGTGAACAAGAGGTTTGGCTAAAGCAGGGGCTGCCAGAAGGCCGTGGGGAGGGGGCTGGGGAGCTGGGGTGCTGCCTCCGGGCCTCCAAGAGGGGGTGCGAGGTCGGTGGCCGGGGCACGGCCTGGAGCTCAGGGGCCGGGGGACACCAGGTGTGATGCTTTGACCACGGCAGGTGACCTCGTGATGCGGCACAGCCAAGCGTTAAGGTCAACAGTCCGTCCCGCCTCAAAGAGCAGCCGCCCAAGGCTCGGGGGAGGGCCTCGGCCGGGACACCAAGGTGCTGCCCCGGGGCCTGGCAGCCTGGTTACCACGAGGGGGTGCACTGCGGGGGACATTCGTGTGCAGGACCGGGCCACAGGCAGGCCAGGACTTTGCCCGCACTCTGCCCTCCTCGTTCCCGGCCCCTCTCCTACGCCCTCCCTGCCTGCCTGCCTCGCCGACACCCCTCGGTGACCACAGGCACTGGCTCTGAGGCCGGCCCATGAGTTCCCGCCTCTCTCAGCTGCTTTGGGGCGGCCTCTGCACTCTCTCTGGGTTTTTTGTTGTTGTTGTTTATTTTTTGAATATATTTTTATTGATTTCAGAGAGGAAGGGAGCGGGAGAGAGAGAAACATCAATGATGAGAGAGAATCATTGATTGGCTGCCTCCTGCACGCCCCCTACTGGGGATCAAGCCCACAACAGGGCATGTGCCCTTGACTGGAATCAAACCTGGGACCCTTCAGTCCACAGGCGGACGCTCTATCCACTGAGCCACACCAGCCAGGGCCTGACTGTGGTTTTACCCTGACCTCTGTGGCTGCAGTATCTGCCCATAGAGTTGGGATCATGATTGTGGCCCCCTCACAGGGTGACTGAAGGGGCGACAGGGGCAAATATGGGCAAATTCAGTGCCGTGTGAGTGTTTGCTAAATACAAGAAACCACCTTCCTGGACCCCGGGTCGTGCCCCTGTGACGTGGGGTGTCAGGACTTCGGGCCACTGACAGGCTCTGAGTCACAACGTGTAAGGAGCTCCATGCACGCTGCTGTGCGCTGTACCCCTCCCAGGGCCCTGACAAGCTGGGGACACAGGTCCCAGGGAGTCCCCACAGTAGGCAGGGTGGGGGTCAGGGAGCCTGGGGTGCCTGTGGAGCCCCCTCTCTTGTGTGCCATCCCCACCCCCGGGAGGTGGTGGTGGCTCCGAGTCCATGGAGCTGTGGGGCTGGGGGTCTTGTCCACAAGCCGGCCTGCCTGGCCCTGGGACATGGGAAGGGTGTCTGTCTGCTCTGTCCCAGAACACCGTGTGGCTCTATTTTTAAATATATTTTTATTATTGATTTCAGAGAGGAAGGGAGAGAGAGAAGCATCACTGATGAGAGAGAAGCATTGATTGGCTGCCTCCTGCACGCCACACACTGGGGATCGAGCACACAACCCGGGCCTGTGCCCTGACTGGGAATTGAACCATCACCTCCTGGTTCCTAGGTCGATGCTCAACCACTGAGCCACGCCGGCCGGGCTAAAGCCAGGATTTAATCTGACGACGGGCCCAGCAGGGAGAGGGTTCCGGCGGGCCCGGAGGTGGTGGCCCTGCGTGCTCAGGACTGACTTCTGCTCCGTGACCTTGAGCAGACCTCTTCCCTCTGAAGCCCTTTCCCGCGTGGGATGCTGCCGGCCACCTCAGCGTCACACTTGTCCCCTGAGCATGCGCGCTCCTGCGTGCACAGACCCCGGGCCATACGGACTCTGCCTGCGGACCTGCCTGGGGCCACACATGTGCATGGTTTGCGGGTCCAAAGCAGTTCCAGGTAGCTCGCTGCAGCCCCTGGTGGGTGGGTTGGGGAGGGGGAGGTCTCTGCTGTCTGCGGGAGCCCAGGGGGCTGGACTGGGGCTGGGCTGAGCTGCCGCTCTGGGGTTGGGGTGCAGCATCTGGCTAGGGCATGGCCTGCCCCACCTCAGCCATAGCTGTGGGGGCTGCTGGGGTCCATGGGGGCTGGGTCCCGGGGGCCGGCCGATGCCACCAGCTGCCACAGGCGGTGGCTGAGGTTCTGCACCTGGCAGGTGCTCAGCACACAGCCCACCCGCAGGAGCTGGGCTCTGGGCCTTGGGGGGCCCAAGTGTCGACGGGGACCACCCCGGAGAGGCTGACCCGCGGCAGGGGGCAGACTGGCGCCCCTCTGTGGCTGCAGGGCCTGGGGCGGCTTGTGGATCACAGGCCGGGGTGCAGGGTGCTGGGGCTGCAGGCCGCTGGCAAGGGTCCTGGCTGGAGGCGCCCTGCAGGGGAGATGGAGGAAGTAAACGCGACAACCCAGCCGTTCAGGGACCCCGCTTTCTGCCTGGAGAA